AATTCCCAGAGAAATTTCTCTCCGTACAGCCCGGTCTTGAAAATCAAAAGTGCTTTGGTTTCCGGCTGCAAAGAGACAAAGTCTACCTGAGAGTTGCAGTCTAGGAACACAAACTTAACATGTATAGTGGTGGGAAGCAATCCGGCTCCTGGAACCTTAGGGCAGGGCCCAGGCAGATAGGCATCAGCTGTCCTGGGGGCCACCATTCATCCTGAACTTCATAAATGTACTTATCAACTTCAACAATGATCTGGAAGGTAGTGTTTTGAGGAAGGGGAAATGTTTTTTGAATTTGCAAATGGACTAGTTTGGAGGAGTTAGTAGTGGATGCTGGGAAGACCATGAAACTGACACCTTTTTAGTGCCTTAAACATTATACCCCTGGGATATGCACATGGGCAGTGAATGACAGGATTCAGGGAAGCAGGGACACTGTTGGCAACTCAGCAAAGTCACAGCTGAAGTGGCCTGAAATCTGCTCCAGGAGGTGCTAAATAGGCAGATAATGGGAAGTGGGAACATTTCCAAGTGACGTTAATGCAGAAACATAGGTTGTGGGAGAGAAATGTGTGTGGCTGGAGACAATCTGGTAGTGTGGAGGCTTTGTTGCAGAGCATGACAGAAGAGAAAGTTGGAAAGGTGACTGGGTAGATTTGGAGTCACAGAAGCCAGACAGGGCTTTCCCAGTGGGCTATTGAGGAGGATCAACCTTGCAGAAGGAAGTGGAGGATGGTGGAAGTGAGGTGTCAGAGAGCAGAGGCAGATACTGGAGGAGGCCTTCTGTGAAAAGGTTCAACATGGGGCAACAGAGGGATGGTCAAGAGGACATTCAAGGGGAAGCTGTAGGGATGAAGGGGAGAGCGGAGTAGAGCAGGGGACCACACACTTCACACAGGCATGGAAACGCTTTCCAGAATGAGGTGCCCACACATGCAGCTCTGAGCCTATGCAACAGGCTAGTGAGTTCTCACTGATCTACTACATAGATTTGGGGTTTGAAAGGAGCTTTCAAGAAACTGAGGGGTACAAGGAAAATCCACTGTGCTCTGGAGGCAGCAGTATGGAAACTCTGCAGAGTGGCTCCTCCAGGGCATCAGGAGATCTTGACCTAATTTTGGGGTGTGGTCATCACCTGCCATTTGCCCCCACCCCCAGGGCATCCTAACATCAGGGGTGAGAGAAGCTCCACAACACCACAGGTTACATCTTTGTCGTAACAGACTTTTAAACCAGTGTTCTCAGGACAGTCAGTTTCGGGAGTGTATCCCCCATTTCTGGGTTGATAATCCAAGAGGACTGAGAAGGTGGGGATGATTTGGCCATAAGAGTTCTTCCAACTAAAGGAGTATGATATTTTAAGACATTAGAGTAAGAAAAATGCAAGCCCATGATTTTGCTCTATCCGCCATGGTTCTTTGGCATCTTGATGACTTTTTTTTTTTTTTTTTTTAACTGACAATTGAACCCAGCACTGAGCAACCAGTGCTCCCTGCTTTTTTTTTTTTTTTTTTTTTTTTTTTTATGGTCTTGCTAAGTCACTACATTGCCCAGGCTATCTTTGAACTTGTGATCTTCCTGCTTCAGCCTCCTGGCATGCTGGGCTTATAGGCATGTTCCACCTTGCCTAGCTTGCTGCCATTACAATGTACTTTGTGAACCCCTTCTCTGTGGAGGGGGTCCAAGGTCCAGGTCCAGGTCCAAGCCCCAGTTTTCTCCTTGTGAGAATACTGGGCACTTCTACCCTGAGCACTTCATACAGCCAATGGAGACCAACTAATTAGGATCAAAGGGTGACACTTGGCTCTCCAGGGTCACCTTCTCAGTGTCACTCTGCAGTCTCTATGATGCATGGACCCTGTGTTTGCTTCACCCCATTTTCATCTCCATCGCATCTCCTTGCATAGAACCTGCCCTCCCAGACAGTGCTGGCTGATCAATCACTTTATTTTGCTCTATTTTAAACCACAGTGTAAGCCTCTTGATCTCTAGTGACTTTTCTTTTTTCTTGTTTGTTTGTGCAGTACAAAGGACTGAACCCAGGACCTCTGCACTGAGCTACAGCCCCGGCTCTTCTTAATTTTTTGAGACAAGTTCTCACTAAATTGCCCACGCTGGGCTCAAACTTGCAGTCGTCTTGCCACAGGACCTGAAAGTTGGCATTTCAGGCACACAGCACTACACACGCACACACAAAACAGAACACCCTGTTTTGGAGCAGAGTATGCGCTAACCCCCTCTCCTTGGTTCAAGACCAGGTCCAAGCCCCAGCAAAGCTACAATGGCTCCTGTTTCCACAGTCTGCAGTGTTCTGTGAGCAGCACACAGCCCTGCAGGTGCTTGAGGCAAGAACTTCCCACAGTTCCCCCAGGAGATTCGCTGTTTCCATTTAAGACAGAAGCAGATGGGAGTGTGGCAGGGAAAGCATCCAGGAACCCAGTGAGTCAGTGCCAAAATGACGCAGCAGGCGGCTCAAGTCCTGGCACCTTGAGAAAGCTATGTGTCCTCCACACCCGGGTGACTGGCCAGGGCTGTCCTGTCCAAGCCTTTGTCCTTGGGTTATGTTCACACAGTGGTCACCAAGCATCCAGAGCAGAACAAAAGGTCTTTGAGGTCATTCTGAGCACAAATGCCAGAACTATTGCTTTCTCTGCTTGCCCTGGCTAGAGAGTGACGTTCTCACTGGGAGAGTTTTTATTTAAAATAAGCCAACAGAGCGGGAAGTTGGCAGCATAGTGTGGGTGACACACAGCCGGCCTCGGTGGTTTCTGCCTCTGGGTTGGGCCATGTGCCATGAGGGCACGGAGATCCCTGGGTTCCTGAAAATGAGCAACCAGGTCTCTTGGAGGACACTGATCCTTCCCGCTTGGTGCTGTCTCTTCCGGGGGTACCACACTCTGCTGCTGGCAGGAAAAGTCACACACTATTGACCAGAAGAGTGACTCTCACCTTCTCTAAAAAGGGACTCTGGTGGCTTTTCTGGGAGAGGATAGAGAAATACAAACTTGAGGAGTGGGGGACACTCTGGTTTGCTAATGCTTTGCATATATGCCCGGAAGATCCAGGTTTTAGAAGCTTGGTCCTCTGTGGGACTTAGTGGGAGGCACTGGTCACTATGGATCCTGTCTGCAGAAGGTATTAAGGTAGAGGATTGTTAAAAAGGAATGAGGCTGGCCCCTCCCCATCTCCCTCTGGTTTCTTGTGCTGTGGAATCTCTCTGTCTTACACTGGCTTCACTAGGAAGCCACCTGCTGAGATCTGTAGACAGGGATCCTTTGCTGGAGCCACCACTATGTTCTTGAACATCCCAGACTTTCAGCTAAATAAATCTCTTTCCTTTATGATGTACCCTGCCTTGGGTATTTTGTTATAGCAATGAAGATGGATCAATGTAAGGGAGAACTGGAGAATCAAGAAAGGCCAGGGACAGGTGTTGAGACCAGAAAATGAGGCAGGTACAATAGGGATGGGGAGAGTGGGAGCAAGGGCAGAACTTAGGTCAGCTTTGCAGGCTGGGTGGTAAATTCCAGGATGAAGGGAAGCAGAGAAAGAGGGGAAAGCCTGGATGTATGGAGTTCAGGTAGGATTTGGAATTAGGCTTACAGGAGAAATTTGTGCAGAAGACAGTAGCCAGTAGAGACAGCGGATGATTGGAAGTGTAAGATGAAAGGTCTCTCAGATCGAGGGGGTGGGTAGATAGAGAAGTTTTTCATTTTCCACAACCCTGGGCCATGGGAGGAGATTCCTACTGGGGAGAGAGCATGGCTTCTTCCTCTGAGGTGGTCTGTACCTGCTGGTACAGACATCAGTCACCTGGCTGGGGAAGGCCTCTGGTGGGAGAGCAGGGCCTGGATGGGGTCTCATGGACAGGAAGACAGAAGCCCTTGTCCTTAGATTCAGGTACTTTTTTCCTCCAGCAATGACTTTTGTGTGGATTAACGCCAGGCCACTCCTCAGTGGTGACTGATAAGGGCAGCTGCATTCCTGATATGCTTCCAAAATGTGCTTTTGGAGTCATTGTCCCTGTCCGATTGAGAAGCCCCTGAAAACCTTTTCTTGCTCTGGGATGGTGCTAATCTTAGTGCCTTCTCTTTAGAGTCAGGAGTGAACTCAGCTTTCTGTATCTGCTTCAGCCTTGAGGCCACAGGCTAAATTTAAAAACCATTCTACAAACTGGTGTGGTGGTGCATGCCTGTAATCTTGGCATTTTGAGGGTCTGAGGCAGGAAGTGTACAAGTTAGAGCCCAGCCCGGCGATTTAGCAACTTAGTGAAACCCTGTCTCAAAATAAAAGATAATAGAAGGTTCAGCATGTAGCTCAGTATGAAGACCTTGATTTGTACCGCAAAAACAAATCAACAGACAAAAAACCTAAGAAACAAACAAGAACAAAAACTGTCCTACAAACCCACAGGCCTGGATGCTTTTCTGTTTCTAGGACAGATGTTATAACATGTCTATTGTTTTGCTAAAGCTTTATCATCAGAGTCTATGCAATTGTTTGTGGACACTTTGGGGGTATGGGGAATATAAGTTCTCATCAAGGGAGCAGAAGATTAAGCTGAATTGGTAATTAAAAACTGAAAGAAAGTAACCTAGGAGACTGGATTAGAAATTTTTAGAAAAATACATCATATAAGTGACCTTTGTTTGTTTACACCAATTTCACCAGGAACAGAAAAGCTAGCCAGGGTAAGCAGCTGTAGACGCAGAGTCTGCCCTATAGACCCTTGGTCCCTTCTCCATGTGCCCTGTTCCCCATGTTGTCATCCTGTGATATCCAGGCCTGGTGGATGTTTGTGTGTGTCCAGCCCACTTGACCCAGGGCCCACAGAGCAATATCTCTTAAGGGTGATGACATCTGGCACATGTCCCCTCTGCCCATGGTGTCCCCAAGAGGCCACTGGATCATTTGCTCCTAAGGAATATTCAACTAATCTGTTCTTTAACCAGAGACCCAGTCTTAAGATCTTTGGCTTATGTCACTGAATTCTTGTACTACAGGGGGACAGCCACAGAGCTGAACATGGAGAGGAAAGACCTTCCAGAGACATTTGCATGCACATGATTAACAGCTGTTCTCTTGGCCTGGTCCCACATCCTTCTTGGGTGCAAGAGACCAAAGACAGTGGTGAGTCAGGAGGCAGAGGCTCTCTGGGACCCAAATCTAGAAATGAGAAGAATTTTTATCACCTCTAGGCTTCCAAGGACTTGAGGATCAACATGTAAAAGGTACAGATAACTTGTGTCAATGAGCTTCTCTAATTACCCAGTGTCTGACAATTGGACTGTGTGTTTGCCCTCGAAAACAACCTCCTGACCTACCAGCAGTAGATTCAGGAACTCAGCAAAGTGATTGCATTTGTTTAGAGATCAAGGTCCCCTGTCACCTTGGGTCACCCCCTGGATCACCTCTCCTGTCTCTACAACTTAATAGTGCTAGTATTTGGTGCTCCCCTGCGAGTACACCATATGCTGGCTATGGCTCCACATATGGTCAACTTGTCATCTCACTTGGCCCTCCGTGAAGCCCCAAGAAGTGAAGCTCTTGTCTTACCAGGTACCAAATAAAAACACTGGTGGCACTGGTTCACTAGTGCAGGTTTACTCTGCATGTTTGTAGTGCAAGTCAGACATCTGCCATCCCAAGCTAGACCCAGGCCTTGCAGGAATAGGAACAGGCCTACACTACAGGTCCCTGGGATATGCCCTTTCTCTTGGTCCTGGAGCTGACAAGCATGGAGTTTCCTGGTACCAGCAGAAGTACAAGGCTTCAGGGTGAGGGTCAAATGGCAAAGAGTGGCCCTGCTCAGACCCTTTGCATATCCAGCAGCCCTGGGTAGGCATGCGCACAGTCATGATCCTCCTTCAACACTGAACAGAACGTAGTCCATTGGACATTTCACAGCCCTGGCAAAATAAGATCACAAAGTCCTCAGGCAGGTCTGTCTCTCTCTCTTTCTGGTGATGGTAGTGGGGGTAAGATAGGCAGGGAGCAGAGGGCAACTGTGCCAAAAGCTCTGTTCCAAACATTCTTGCCAGCTCGCTCACAGCAGGGCCATAGAGGAGACAGAAGCTGGGCATGGCGGGTGTCTGACGAGGGAAGGTGTGTCCTCAGGACTCCCTTGCAGGGTGGGTGTTACATTCCAGTGTGCTTGCCTTCTGCTCCCCACTATGCACACTTACATGTAGGAAAATGATCCAAGTAGACTTTTTTCAGGGTTCAGGGAGAATTAAGCTTCCAGAGGTAAATAGAAAATGGTATTTAGCTGCCAAAGATATGAAGGACGTCAGCCAGCACTGTTCTTAGGCCTTGGGTGGGGAAGGACTCAGGACTGTCCCTAGGAATAAGTCATCCAAAAGAAATGATCCTCCAGGGAGGGGCAGCTGGAAAGCAAGTAGGTGGCCTCATGAGCCCCTGATAAGGACACAACCTGAAACTCACCTTTCCATGAAGCGTGGAAGAGAGGCATAGCTCCTAGAGGTGCTGGTGTCCCTGGGACACCTGTTCATTTGAATGACAGGTGCTGGAAGGCACTCAGGGGCTGTCTCTCACACTAGTTCCTGGGCAAATGTGCCAGGAACTGGTGGAGTAAAAAGGTAGGGAAAGAGATGGTAGAGGTACCTAGGTAAATCCCGGTTAGGGGCCTTGCTGGGGGAGACATGAAGGGAATCTGTTGACCAAGGAGTTGACATTAATAGAAGCATAAGAGGCCAGTGGGTCCAGGCAAGGAAAGGCAGAGGTAAAGGAGAGGTGGAAATAAGGTCCTAATAACACTGGCCTTTAAGCGGAACTTGGGCTCCAAGAGCAGGATGCGAAAAGGGACTGGAGAGGGAGGCCTCTTCCTTGAGAAGGAACAATGGTCATTCTTCCATGGAAAGCTGACCTTCCCTGAGAGAGGAAGGGCTGCCAGGGGAGGAGGGCCAGTTCAGGGACGGGAAGGAAGGGGCCCAGAGTCTGTGCCGAGCAAAGGAAAGCCAGAGGCCCCTGGAATCACATTTGGAACTTGATACGTCCCTGTTTCCAGAATGCGAGGCTGCCTGGCAGCTCACATCCGGGCTTTCCAGGCACTGTCGTATTCACCTCCAACTGCCCTATGGTCTCCTCTGGGACTTCAGGTGAGGCCTTGTAGGATGGAGGCCCTGAAGCCGTGCAGGGCAAGAGGCTCACATGCTGCACACTGCAGCAATGTGACACTCAAGCTGACCCCACGGGAAGAAGGAGTTCCCAGAAAAAATACAGGAAGCCAGCCAAGGTCATCTAGGCACAACACAGACCCCTCCTCTTTCCAAAAGGCGCCTATCTCCAAAACAATCAAGGCTGCTCCATTAAACAACACTGGCTCAGTACAAAGGAAGCTCAGCATGACGGGATCAGGGGCCAGTTCCAAGGAAAACATTCTGGATTGTAGGGTATGCACGCAGCAGTGAGCAAAAAAGCTGAATGGCATTCTTATATGAGGGTTCTGGTGCCCGGGATGGGAACTTCAGAGTTCTTGAGTGCCCGACGAGGGCTGCCGTGCCACTTGGAGAGGCTCACTCTTCACTAACAGTCCTTGCCTCGTGGGTGGTCTGCACCCCTGCTCCCCTCTCTGTGTAGTGAGTTAGCCACTTTGGGCCTCAGTTCCTCAAGCCCTTCAGAGGAAGCAGGGCCTTTTGCCAATTGTAGCTGGTGATATCAAGGACTTCATCTAGCAACAAGGGGGAGATGAGAGCCAGGGTCCAGGGCAGCTGAGAGCAGTGACCAAACTTCAACTGGCCAAAAACAAAAGAAGGGGTACAGAGCTCAGTCTGAGCATTCTCCACATTTGTGATAGACTCAAGGTTTGTGCTCCTCTATTCATATGTTGAAGTCTGAAACTTAAATAAGATTGTACTAGGAGACTAGACTTTTTTGGAGGTAATTTTGGCTAAATAAAGTCTTCAAAATGATACTTGCTAGAGAGCTCTCTCTCTACCACATGAGGACACAGTGAGAAGGTGACATGTGCAAGCAGGGCCTTTGATAGGACCAAATCAGGCTGCAATGGACATCCAGCCTCCAGACTCAGAGAAATAAATTCTAGTTAAACCTACACAGCCTAGGATATGTGAAGTATTATTGAAAAATATGGTTTATGTTTAAATTTTTTTAAAAAATGTATTATGGTAAAAGACACATTGCTATTAATCCCCTTCAAAGTACTCCCCTGACTTTGAATGCAATTATCCTACCATTCTTACTTACCACTTTCTAACTGAGTCCTGGGAGTTCTCTTCTGTGAGTATTTTTAGTTGCACTATCCTGGCTATCTCAATGTCCTGAGTCAATTCAAAATATTGGTCTTTCATGATCATTTTGACTTTGGAGAAGAGCCAGAAGTTGCACAGTACTAGATCCAGTGACTAAGGTAGATGAAAACACAAAATATTTTTATGAGCCTGCCCTTCCATTGGATGACAGTTGAAGAAGCATTCACATATTTTCTGTATCTCAATAAAGACACTCACAAAAGAGAACTTCCAGAGCTGCTTTGGAAAGTGACAAGAAAGATGGTGTGTGTGAAGCAAGGGAGAATATTTGAGGAGGATTAATGGCAATATGGGATTTAAATGCTTATTGTATGTTTTGATCATCTCATGTATTCGTTAGAGCCACTCTTGGAGACTGACGCTGCACCCAGTCACAAATCTGGAAGACCAACGGGAAAGGAACACTGCATGTTCTCACTGATACTTAAAAGTCTGATTTCATAGAAGATGAGAGTAGAATAGTGGTTATTTTAGTCTTGGCAAGCGTGAGAGGGAGAGATGGAGGGAGGGTAGTTAATGGGTACTGGAACATTTGAATCTGAAAAATGAGTTCTGATGCTCAGTACAGTATGGTAGCTGGAGTTGTCCACATTGTACTGAACATTTTACTCGCTAGTAGAGACAATTTTTAATGTTCCCAATGCAAAGAAATGATAGGTGTTCAAGGTGATAATGATGCCCATTACCCTAACCTGATCATTACAATCCTGTGCATGTATTGAATTATCATACTTCACCCCATAAGTACATAGAATTACTACACTGGCAGCCTTTCCTAGAATTTCATAGCATTGCTACTGGAAAGGATCAGAACCTGAAAAAGGGAAGCAGATGGATCATGAGTCTAAAGGACTAAGGCATTGATGGGAGGGATTCGGAGTGGGGAACAGGAAGGAAAGGCTATCTTTGGGGATCAGAGGAAAAGTGTTGACTTGGGGCTGTGAGCATTGCTGCTAAGGCAGCTCTTCAAAGGTGTATCTTGAATTTTGGTAGGTCAGTATGTGGGCAGTTGAAGGAGTAAAACAGGACAAAGTGGGCCCCTCGGTGACCCAGCATCTGTGTCTGTGCCCAGCACATAGACAGGAGGTATTGATGCTTTTCACCGTGAAGCTAGACTGCATCTGGCCTAGCACTTAGAGAAATGAAAAATTGAGGGAGTCAGGATGTCCCTGGGTCTAGCTGCTGCCTCCAGAGTGGGGTGACCCAGTACCCAGTAATGCTGCACTGTCCTCACAGAGTACTCCAACAAATCATTCTACTTTGTCTTCCAGATTGTATGGACATTTCTCCCATGAGCAGCCTTGGCTATCTGCATGCTGTATAAACATCTCTACACTTGCTGCAAAAATTTGACCAAGGCATGACAGGAAGGTGTTGTAAGTCATCTCTGATTTTCTGTTCACATGGCAATTGCAGAATTCCAGGCTGAGTGCCCAGGCTGTGCCCCTGGGTTCCTGTACTTTCCTCACAGGTCTCCCTCACGTGTGGCATGGTCTGTTCCCTGCATTGTGATATTGACAGCCTGCCCTGGGAGTCTAGTCTGTTCCACTGACAGCTGCTCAGCACTGGGACAGAGGCCTTGCTCCCAAAAGAACTGAAAGAAGGAGTGAAATGATTCCTCTGCTTTTCTGAAAACTATTTGAAGGCTGTTAGGTGATGACTTGAATTTTTATGGTCTCACTTTGAGGAATGGCCTTGTAGATAGGATCTAGAGAATTAGATGTGCTCAAAGCTAATCATCTCCAGGGAGCAACTCTGTCTTGGGACAAAGCTGTTATAGGAAGGGGTGTGGGAGGGATTCCATTCCAGGGAACCAATAGCCCAGCATAACCCAAAGCAAACAAGGTAGGAGTTTATTTCTCTCACATAGATTGAGTCAAGAGGGAAGTGGCTTACTCAGTCCTTTGGAGTTGGGCTTTCTACACTGCTTGGCCATCCCTAGGGTGTGGCCACTTCCTCCCAGCCCAAAATGACAGCGCCATGATTTAGACAGAAAAAGAAAGAGGCAACAAAGAAGAGCAACATGCACCCAGGAGGCCCTTCTGCACATGTACCCACCACCTAGAACCTTCTCATGTGACTGCAGAGGCCGGGACAGTCACCTCTGTCCTGGATGGCTCTGTGGCCAGATGGAAAGGGTGCAGCTGGCTGGGTGGTGAGGAGGTGTTTCCCCCTCCTTCCTTCCTTCTCTGGGAGGATAGGAGGCTATCAGAGGCCATATGCCCAATACTCTCAGGATAGTGAGGCTGGTATCCTGTATCCATTCTGGGAATGGATCAAGTTGGTGGCAGTTGCTGTGAGTGGGTGATTTGTGCTGAATGGTGTGAGGCTATCTGAAGTGCAGGGAGTCAGCTGCACTCAAATACATCAGGAAAAGAAAACCAGAATAAACAAGTAAAAACAACTCTCCCAAAACCCAAGGGAAGCATAGTGTGATTGAAAGGTTGTGGTGAGAAGGGAAGAGGGCGAGTGTTTATGTGATGGGGCAGTGGGTTTACACGGCAACTCTCCGGCCACGTTTTCACTACAAAATGATTGAAAAGTGTATTTACAGTAGGGTGGGGATTTAAAACCTCCTTTTAAAAGCATGAGTCTCCTGGGAGTATGTCAAAGGCGGGCAGTTGCTCCCTGGAGAGCAGTTACAAAACGACTTGTAGCTGAGTTTACTTTGTGTTATTAAAGAATGCCCAGCCAAACATTTTCTTCTGTTCTCATGCTTTTGGAGTACAGAGAGAAGAAAGTAGTTTTGCCTCTGCAGCATGCAACCAGCGGGACATGGATGAGGGATCCCCCCCATGGCTCACCCCTTGCTGCCCTTAGGATGACTGGCAAGTCACCTTGAGCTCAGGAGTCACCAAGGGGTGTGAGTTAGGAAGGGAAGAAACAGTGTAGTCTTGTGAAAGAGGTACAGTGTGCTCTGCTGCACCCTGGCTTAGGAGCAGTGTGCTTTCAAATTCCACTTGAAAAATGAAATGTATGTGCTTTTCCAAGTTAACTCCATCCTGGAGCCTGGATTCTTTCCTTTGCTGCATTGGCCCCATGGCAAAGAACTGTGCATACGTGGGATGGTGGGAATCTCGGCTGGTCCTTATTTATTATGTGCTTTCCTCCTAAGGCCCTACACCACTACACACCTCCTAGGGGGCCGAAAAGGCAAATGCAAGATTACATCAGTCTATCAGTGGGGTGAAGAAAATACAAACTGGAGCAGTCACCACTGACCAAGTGCACACTGTGTCCTGAATTTAAAAGTCACACAGTGTCGGTGCCTTTGTGACACTGGCCACATGGGCAGGGATGGCCTTCTCACCTCAGAGACTACAGATGCTGAGGCCTTTGTCTTCTGGTCTGCACGTGATGGGTGGTGGGGGCCAGGTTGGGACATTCAAGAGGGGACCTGCAGTGGGCACTTGCACCAGCCAGGACAAGGGCTCCCTCTCTGAGGTGGGGGCTCCACAGACCAGGTGAGAGTAACACAGAGCAACATCCCATCTAGATTCCCGGCATCCCGCACAAGCCAGTGAGGCAGCTTCTCTTTCTCCGAGGCCATCACTGTGGCCAACACAAGTCCTCCAGCTGACCTAGCCCCGGGTTTCCTGAAGTACTGTTTATATCAGGGTAAGTTTAGCACTTTAGCTTTGGGTTAGAGTGATGAATTCACCTCTTTAGCACCTCTCTCCCTTCCTGAATTTCTCCCTTTGAGTCAGCACCAGTTTCACCTCTAATCATTCTGATCTGCCAGTGTTTGAAAGTCCCCTTGTTTATCAAGCTCTGGAGATGAGAAGTCACACAGTTTAAGTTCTCTGCCAGGAGTAGGGCTAACACAGCAGGAAACAGCAAGTGTTTAAAGGCGGAGTGATAGATTTAATAATAAAAGTTACTTTCTCACCCTGGTATTTTTTTTAGACAAAGCAGCATTATCCTGTTGCTAATTTGACTTTTCTTCTGCTGCTAGTGAGCAGGAGAGCTCTGTGGCATGTATCATTGTGCTGTGCTGTTCTCAGGTCAGCATATTCCCTACTGACTGGTCCGTGTATCTCTCCTGCCCTAGGAGACAGACTCACATCAGCAGGGGTTTTACTGAATCAGAACCACAGATGCCACCCCACCAAATGCCCAGATGTAACCCAGTGGATTCTGTTCCATCAAAAAATTGTTTTTACATTCCATGCATGAGACAGTTGCTATTTTCTTCTCTGAGGAGCCTTTGTTTTAGGACTTTCCCCACATTTAGTCCAGAGGTTTTCTTGTTTCAGTGAACAACAAATGTCTCCAAGGTGGCTGCTATGTGCTGAGGACAGTATCAAAACTGTTTAAGTCATGGTCCTTGCCCTCAGAGAGCTTGTAATCCGTATGGAACTCAGGATAAAAAATAATTAAGGGCACCCAAAGTAAGAGAGGACCACAAAGGCAATGATTTTAAACTCCACGTTGAATTTTATTGGTGGATGGGCTGTTAAATCAATTTTATCAGCATTAATAAAAAAAAGAGAAATAATTTCCTTACTCCTTTCCCCAATACTTCCAAGGTACTGGAAATTGAACCCAAGGCCTCACGCATGCATGCTAGGTAAGTGCTCTACTACTGGGCTAGATCCTCAACCCAAAGAAATGACTAAACTACTAAGAATCGGAGTGTACATACTAAGAACAATTTTGAAAAAATGTGATTCCATTTTACATACATTTACAATGTATTTCTTACTATGTGTCATGATCAAATGTATTTGAAACCTTCTAACAAACTGGCATTAAAGGGACATTGCTCAAAGAATTCCTGAGCCTGGGTTATGGACACTTTGGGGCTCGAGGGAAGCTAGGAAGTGGTTCTATGAAATATAGATATGCCCAATATGTGTGCACAATGTTGATAGTTCATAGACTTTGCAGACCATCCACAGACTCTGGTCAAATCCTCTAATCTGGAGATTAACACCAGAAGGGAGGAAGGGAGACAGAAGATAGAGCAAAGCTCATGTATTAGTCAGCCTTTCCATTGTTGGAACAAAATATTTGACATCCACAACTTAAAGGAGAAAAGAGTAAATCATGGTTCATGATTTCAGAGGTTTCAGTCCATGGCTGGCTGGCTTCAGGGCAAGAAACATGGCATAAGGTGATGAAGCAATCTTCTCACCTCACTGCAGCCAAGATACAGAAAAAGGGGCAAGAACTAAAGGAAATTATACCCTTCTAAGGCCCAGCCCTAGGGGCCTACATCCTCTAACCAGGTCCCACTTCCTAAGAGCAGTTCAGTTATGAACTTATCCATGGGTTCATCCACTGATAAGTGTCCCATGATCAGTCACCTTCCAAAAACCCCACCTATGAACACGTGAGCTTTGGGGGTACACTTTTTATCCGAACCATAAGTTTGCCTCCTGGAGCCTTGCATTTCTGATAAAGACTAGGGTATTCATCTTCTGGAACGTTAACAAGGTCTCCAAGGATGAGGACCCAGTTCGAATTTTGGGAAGAGTACGCTAGCTGCACTCAGATGCTGGGGTTCTACTTGGAGGCCTTCTCTCAGCTGTGTGACCTGGTAGAAGATGGGAGATGTTTTCAAGATAAATTTGCCATTGGACTCATTGGGTGTTTTGCAGAGAAAGTGAGGGAACAGAGGACTTTGGTGGGTTTGAGTCTCTGGCTTTGTGAGACCCAGTGCTGGATGAGTCTAGAAGCATGGAGAGGAGATGTGGCAAGTTCTGTAGTTAAGGGGTGCACATGGGTGTTCTTCCAGTATTGATTCTGTGCATGGGGCCTTGTAGTGGTGAAAGGCAGATGTCAAGTTGGAGGTTGGAGACATGAGAAGAGGAAGGGACTACCTGCTTTGAGTTGATGTGTTCTTTGGAGGATCAGTTTGGTGATGGCCACAGGTGCGTTCAGGAACAGATGTGTCTGAGAGTTCCATCCACAGTGAAATAGCAAGTGAACCATTTGCAGAAGCAGATGATGCACGAACTGGAGCTTGGGCTTCAGGAGGTGAGGTACACACCAGGGAAGGGCCACGCCAGCCACAATAAGACAGAAGATTCTATATCTTGGAAGAACTGGATGTGTATCCCACCTATGTGGGGTTGCACTAGGGAGTCTATCAGGCGTCTGCTCCATAAGGACCCATGAGAGTGTGTTCTACCCAGCACCTGTTCCCAGCTGGTGTCCTGAACCTGGCTGGCTGAGCTCTTATGAGCCAGCCACTGAGCATGGCTGGTCCTATGGATGGGCTCTTGTTGACCCCCATTCCTAGACCTTGATGCTATCCGCTGCATCCTGACCCTTTGCACGTTTCCCTACCTCCTCACCGTCTACCTGCCATTTGTCCTCACATCCTGGACTGGACCTTGTCCAGTCTGCCTGGTCTACCACCCTGTCTCCT